CTTTTTGTAGTGTCTTCATTTATCGGCTGTTGGGTGTACACATCTTCCATCAGTTCTTGTGCTTTCTTCATGCAGTCAGTTTTGTCCATTATGACCGTAAATCAGGCTGTAAGATAACAATAGTCTTATCTTTTCGGACGTTTGTTAGTACATTTCGTTCGCCTACACTGACTATGTTGGTTCCCAATTCGTGGCTCAAAGCAGGGATGATGTGCCTAAATTGCATGGTAGGCTTCGGGTGCGATGTTGGCTACGATCAGCGTTGATTCATGTGCGATAAGGAAATCAGTGGGATTGAAATTTTCATAATTCATTTTCGAACCTCGCACGTCGGCTTTTTCTGCATTAGTTAGGTTTTTTTTGGATAGATCATTAATCCAAGCATCTACATTTTCCGATTTGTGTTGGGTGATTCTTTCCAGCTTCCTTTCTATTTTCTGCTTTGTTTGCACCATTGTCATGAGGGTCTATCGGAAAGCGATGCACATCGATCGGATTTTGAAATATCACAGTATCCATGTAGTCGTTTGCAATCACAGGTACGTGAGAGCTCTCCTCCAACAAGCCAAAACATTGGGGCACGTTGCAACTGAAGAACGTGAAGGAGAATTACTTCTGTAACATGGCTTAGTGAAATTCCTTTTCCAAAAGTTTTATTCTGCACTTCTTGATGTCGAGGACGTAACTACAATTATCATCCACAAGTGCAACAGAAAGCAAAACGATTAACGCTCCAAACGCCGTGATACGGTCAATGCCGAGGAGCGACCGACTATTTCTGCTGGGTGATTTCAACGCGCGCGTTGGGCGTGATGCACCGGTGTGGACAGATGTCATCAGTCCGCATGGCATTGGTTCAGCGAATGCGAACGGTGACAGGCTGCTCTCACTGTGTGCCACTCACTGCCTGACGATCACGAACACTCGGTTTGCACTGAGTGCGAGTGATATAGCAACTTGGACGCACCCACGGAGTGGTCACGCTCACCTACTCGACTATATCACCGTACGTCAGCGCGATATGTGTGAAGTGCGCATGACACGTGTACTACGTGGAGCTGAGTGTGGCACTGATCACAAATTGATGCGGACCAAACTGTACATATATTTTCATAAATCTACGTATTGCACTCCCGCCGTGAATCGGCGTAAATTTAACATTCTCTTCCTCGGTACTGTGGCGAAACGTATTGTGGTGGAGAAGGCGATGGCTGCACGCCTGTGTGATGTGGACTGCATAGCCACAGTGGGCGACCTGTGGAACCACATGCGAAAGCAAGTGACAGCTGCTGCCGAGGCGACCATCGAGCGCACAAACTGTAAGCAGCATGACTGGTTTGATGTGAATAATGTGACGATTGGCGCATTGGTGTCGGAGAAGAATGCAGCATTTGCTGCACTTGTGGCAGACGCTAGTGACTTGAGGAAGAAGAGTCGGTTTCGCAAACTTCGACGGCGACTGACCCGAGAGCTCCGTCGCATAAAGAATGCATGGCGGACGGAGAAGGCGAAGCAGATGGAATGCTACGCCGAACGCCACCAACACAAGGAATTCTTTGACTCCTTGAAGGCAGTGTATGCACCGAGGTTGGAGCCGCTGAGGACGCTGATCGATGGTAGTTCAGGCGCTACCTGCACACAGACTGCAGACATAATGTAGATGTGGCGGAAACACTTTGACTGTCTCTTGAACAACCGTTCAGCGATTGACTAGCATACATTGAACGGTCTCAAGCAGCACGATGTGAAGACGAGTCTTGCGGACACGCCGACACTGGATGAGACGCAGAGAGCACTTGCTCAGCTGCGAAACGACAAATGTGTATGTAGGTGCCGACGAGATCCCGCCTGGAGTATTCAAGCACGGCTGCACCAGTTGGTGCAACGCGTATGGATTGAGAAGCAGGTGCCTCCTGAACTGAAGGATGCCCTTGTGCTACCATTGTTCAAGGAAGAAGGGAGCAAGCTGTTCTGGACCAGTTCTGGCAGACATCTTCCTAGGTATGATTGAAAGGAAAGTTGCGGCCTGCATAGGTGAAGCCAAGCTTTACAAGCGTTATGTAGATGATATTCTCGTCTTCACCAATGGAGCAAGCAATGTTGCACGAATTATCGTGGCATCAACTTGCTGAGTTGTGTGGGCAAGGTGTTTGCCCGAATCCTGCTCAACCGCCTCGTCAGTCAGGTTGTGGAACCGAACGTGGCGGAAGACCAGTGCGGATTCCGTTCGGGTCGCAGCACTATAGATACGGTGTTTGCGGCTCGTCAGTTGTAGGAGAAGTGACACGAATCAGCATGCGTGCTGAAGTATTGGAAACCACCTCCCGCTTCTGCTACCTTGGGATTGTGATGTCGACTGATCAGCAGATACACAGTGAACTTCGTATCGTCGTCTTGAAGGCAGCGGTGGCATTCGGGAAGCTACAGTATCACTTATGGAACAACCGTCAGCTTACCGTTGGCACGAAGCGGATGGTGTGCATATCCATGGTGCTGTCCTTTCTACTGTACAGCTGTGAAACGTGCACGATGTACCGGCGGGATGTGCGATATCTCAAACGGTTCCACCTGCAATGTTTGCGACGCATTTTGCGCATCAGTTTGGGCGACAGAGTTGCGGACACGGAATTGTTGCGCCCTAGTGGAATGTATGTAGTGGACTGCGTACTTCTGCTGAGACATCTGAAGTGACTGGATCTTGTGAGCCGTCTGGATTAAGCGCGGATACGGAAGCAATTCTTATGTGATCAGCTGAGTATAGGGAAGCGGCACGTGAGGAAACCATAGTTACGTTGCCAGGATTTGATTAAAGTTAGCATCTCACGTTCTAATCTTGATTTCAAATCATGGGAATCGAAGGCGGTTGATCAGCGTGCCAGTCGCGATCTGATCACCAAGGCATTTGCCGAGGTGCGGGAGTAAGACCTCATACATGCAGAGAAGAAACGGTAAGTGCGGAAACGTATGCACCGATGGGTTGTACTCCATCGAAATCGATCGTACGGTGCTGCATCTGATGTGGTCACTAGTGACTGAGTCAGGCAGGCCTAGTGAGTCATGAACGAAGCCACTCGGGACCACTACCGAAGCGACGACGGGTCCTGCAGAGAACGTAGGCAGAACCGGCACAGCGTTTGTAGATACGCTGCATTCGATTTAATAATCGCGTGCTTGCATGCTAAGTCTCTTTATTTCAGGTGGTAGGTTTTTATTTTTGTCCTAATGCTTTTCTTTCTCACATAAATGCCTACCTATCTTCTATTAAGCTGCACAGGTCGCTTAAACGAATTGTACTTAATTTCGGTAACATTTTCGTGTTTGTGTTATTTACGTAAAATATACTTTCTGACCTCGTGAACTGATCTCGGATTTTTTTGTAGACAACTTTTTTCATATGCTCACTAATTTAGATTGATATCACCGTTTCTTTATGCATTACTCGATTTCTTTTCTTTGTTAGCTTTCTCTCAAATGACTGGCTGTTGCTTGATATCCCCGGTGTGGCTGCGCTTGATGTGCATGTTGACAAGGTGCCTACCTGTCTATTACCCGCTACCTCGTCCATACTGGCTCTAGGCGACAGTTGGTCGTTGCTGGGACGGGGTGCACGATTCTTGTGGCCGTGTTAGGATCAAAGAGTGGTTCCATGCACTCATTGTGGAGCGGACTACGGTCCAGCCACCGCCTTGTGTGCACTTGATTCCCAAATACAGCGTGCTTGTGTTTGCCTGTAAAGGAGTGTGGGCCGGCTCCGTTGATGAAACGTGGCTCCCATCCACATGCCTCCCGGTCTTATTCCTTCGGATTTAGACTGGATATGGGGTGTGTGGTTGGAGCTGGGGTGGTGCAGCGCAAGCCACCCATGGTCCCTCTGTAGGCGCAGGCGTCCTGTGGCTGGCCACAGTGACAGACAAATCCGAAACCGGATGCCTCCAACCGTATATATATATATATATATATATATATATATATATCAAATGCATTAGGTGACCATGCGCTTTCATTCCAATACCCCTTTGCGCAGTCACTCGGGACCATCTTCAACCCGATCGCCATTTGTCAGTCGTTTTTTGTTGTGCTCCGTGCGAGCGGGCCTGTGTGCCCTTTCTTTTGCAGGATCGTGTGATCCGATCAATTCTCTGTTATTTCATTCTATTGTTACTGTACGACGGTCTGCATTTTTTGCCAGTACGTTTCTGCGCTGTTGTCAGTGTTGCATGCTTGGTCGAGACAGTGCCACTTTCTAGCCATCGTCTCATTGTTAAGCATTTTTTTCTAACCGTATCTTTCCTATTGCGACTCTCTCGTATCTTCTATCTTTCTTTTGTTGGTGTCACCAATCAGTCATCGTAGCTACTAGCATTTAGCGCACGGTTCTTAAATAAATAAATAAAAATAAATAAACTTTTATTCTCGACAATGCGAGGCACACCAGTACATGCATGATCATGTTTAGCTAACATAGTGTGATCAAAATGTACAAAGAGTACATGTTTGGCGTAACAGTGAATGTAAGTGTATGGGTGTATATATGTATGTAATTGTCTACGAATGTAGCTTGTATTTTTGAAGGTAGGAATGTGAGAATAAGCGATCGATGTCCGTGAGTTGGATACCATTTTCCGGCTCTCCACGACCCAGTGACTTTATTTTGTGGCGAGTCACATCCGCCACGTTACAGTGTTGATAAGCAGACATTTGTGGCTTTTTATAGGGAGCACGCTTGCCGGGCGAAAACCCACCACGTCCTGAAACACTGCCGCCGAACTATTTGCTGGAACGAGTTAAACCCGAACCACCCAGCTAGCACCACGAGGAGGTTGTTCGGCTAGCCAGCCTTGTTCGGCTAGCCAGGTTAAAGGAAATACCTGATCATGTCAACAAGGCTGGCTTTTGATTTTCAGTTTTTTGTAGCTCTTTTATCACAACTTCCTACTGACCATCATTTTGCCGCTTTTTTCCGTAATCGTTCATCTCATACCTACTCATGTTTTTTTCAGCCAAAATTAATTTTGTAACTGCTGATGGACTAAAGTTTTCTCACCCACTATCCCATGTGGGCAGGACGACTCGAGATCTTCCCTTATTCTGTTTGGACTCACTTGTGCACATGTATTTGCACCCAGAGCATCCGGAAAGCATACTAGCGTAAGTCAACTAATAGATTGTTTTGCACATTACGCTCTTATGTTTTGGTGTACTGCAGCCTTCCTTGAATCATGGATGAAAAATCAACATGCCAAATCTTTTTGACAAATTCTGTTCTTCACTATTATTATTATTACTATGCCGTACGCTGATAACCTAGTTAGCTTTGGCGAGCCGATGTTCGTTAAGTATTTTCCTATCCTCATGTCCGGCGCAACACAACTGCTCTCTTGATTACCTCGAATGGTGTCCCTTACTGGCATAAATCCAAACTCGCGCTGCGCGTCACTATGGAAGGGTTGAAACATCCGTCTAAAGCTTTTTTACTTATAACCTGTTTGACAGGTTTCGCTTGTGACTGCATTGTTTACTACTGCTTTTCGACGACCTCTTTCTGTCGCAGGTTTCGCATTGTTCTGCGAACTTTATTCACATGATCCTGGTTCATTAGGGGGCTTACTCCTTTCCAGTCACTAGGACCTCTGTCTTAAGACTACCGCTATTTTCCATCCTTCTTCCAATTCACGTACAAACCGGAACCGACAGACGTGTTCACAAGCAAATATAACTATTGTTGGCGCTAGCTCAATGGATGATTATATATATATATATATATATATATATATTAGAGAAGCAACATCTCACCTTTGTAATGGTTCACCGGGATCCAATCAACCAACTGTGGCTCAGCCTTAGAGCTGATTAGGATACCTACCCCAGCCTGACCCGTGTGTGTTGCATCAGCGTCTCCGGATGCAGTCAGCCAGTAACGTGGGGATGAGCCGATCGCAGTTATTTTAACTACCCCATCTGAGTCATTGATCCTAGTTTCCGACACACATCACACGTTACTACTCCGTGTGTCCAACGTGCATGCGAGTGCAGCTTGCTGACCTATTTGTCTTAGAGGAATGACATTGAAGGTCGCCAGGGGAACGGGACAACGTAGCCTTATGCTGGACGGTTGTCGATACGCGTCCAGTGGGGGTTGCGGGAAAATGGCTACAAATGCTGTTACTTCTGTAGCTGTCAGTTAAGCTGGGAATTATAGGGCGTAGGTTAGTACTAGAGGTCGGGATGGGAGTAAGAGACACCAGTGAAAAAGATTGAATGAAGGCGCCAGCAGTAGCATTCTTTCGCTTATCCGCCATGCTGTGTGCAGCAGATAAAGCGGCCTTTGCTAATCTGCGCGACGCCCGATGTAGAATGAAGTTTATGTTTGAAGAAGAACTTATGGTTGTATCTGGACTGAGATACTGCCTTGACGCCTAGACCTAGACAGGAGGACGATTCGGGTACTCAACCAAAGCCTTGGGCTCAAAAGCCTGTCCGCAAGGCAGCGAGGAGGTAGCAATGATTTAGTTTTATAGAAATGGACGCCATCCTATTTCAAATCCCCAACCTAGAGGACCAGGAGACTGAGTTTGTCTTACCTCACACCATTGACCCACCTGGTAGGAGTAGCTCTCAAGGGGCCCCATAGGCACCACCCTGTATAGCTCAGTGAGTCCAAGTGGTACACAAATCATCTCACTACGTTAAGGTCCGGTCTCGTTTCGGCGGTGGTACATTTTATCGAAGGCTTTGTCTGAAGACTCGTTTTGGTCGGAAAAATCTCATGCCTCATTTGTAATCCAGAGGTCACAAGTCAGCCTGCGTAAGGGACCGGGTGACCCTGGCAGTGTCCTTAGCTCTCGCACGACTAATGGTGGTTGTGTTGCAGCGAAGGCTCGGTACGCGGTTCCGACGTACTGCTGATTCCTTTTTTGTCTGCCTATCCGGTTTATCCTTCAAACACCATTGCATAACAGTAAAAACGGTCCAGTTTTCATTGAAGCAAGTGGTTGTCGCGATGTCTGATTTGTGGATGTCACGGTAGCCGGTCTTTCATAGGTAGGCCTTTATTCATCTAAGTCAACTCGGCAAAGAGTATGACACGTTTGATACGCAAAACGCCTCGATCTATATTGTTCGTGTACTTTCCTAAACAATCCTTCCTTCAGCTCCGTTAAGCAAACCACTAAGGACCCTCCATATCATGCACCAACATCAGCTAATCGCAATCCAACGTTTGGTTCGTCTCCTATTAGCTGTTGATGATGATCTCTTTAACCTTTGGGATTGACACGCAACACTTTTTACTTACACTACCTTTGTTATCAGTTTCATTGACGAAGAGATCCGTGATCCTTTTGGATAACCAATTTTCCTTTCATTTCAGCGACGAGAATGCCCTGAAAACCTTTATCGCGGATCTCTATAGCGGTAAATTGCACCGCGAGTTCCATTACGGTCCCGACCCACCTTCACTGAAGTCAGCGGACTCCGACGCGCATCAAAAGCAGGAGGTAAGTAGCTTTCCGAACATTTTTAACTGTATTTGTGATAGTCCTGTCCTTCCATTCACTGGCGCTTCACTGACTGTTCGTCGTCTGCGATTTCTTAACTTAATTCTACTTCACGCTAGTATACGACTGAATGCATCTTATTCCAAACTATTTTTTTCCCAACCCATGTCCTGTGCGTGACATGTGATGTTCTCCGCTTATTCAGCACTACAGTTATCTAGCCTCATCCGGGACAAGACGGAATCTTAACATGGGTATCATGGTTTGCATACCTCCGTGACTTATTATACACCACTAATTGGCTGGACAGGTCATTGATTAGTTGCTACCACAGGCTCTGTCGTTGATCAATCAGCAGAAGTGTTCGATCGGCTTACTTGGTAGTTATGTCACCTCTGGTGATCGCATCAGGTATCAGCAAAGCTTCATGGGCTTTGCTGATGTTCAGTCATCTATGGAAACTGCGTGGTACCAGCTTAACAATCCAAAGCAGGGTGTATGACACTGCGGTGAAGCCGATTTAACTGTATGAATTAGGGACCTCATCACTTCGCACCGGAGACATTAAGTGATTGACTGTCTGATCACTGGTTCTTGTAAATCTTTTCATATCTAGTAGGAGCGCTTAATTAGCAGTACCGAGGTTACCAGTAGGTGTATAGGTGTCAACCTTCGGTGCCTCATCGAAGCGTATTTCAAACTAGAACCGCCTACTTTGGCCAAGTTACCAGTCGGTCGCCGAAAGGACAAGGCGTATGCCTTGCAACCCGGACGTCACCCGTTCGAGCCTGCCTAGGGGACCAGGTGACCCTCGCAGTATCCTTAATCTACGTGAGACTGGTGGTGATTACGTAGCAGCGAGGCGTCGGTATTTCGTACTCATGTTGTCTTTTCCTTTGTCTTTTATGGACAACTTATCTCTTCTCTATGTTCCTTGATCACCTCCATCGACATACTATCACTTCATTCGGTTGGACGAAGGCGCATGGTGTTTGATCGAAGTAAACGCATGAACAAATTGACCGAAAGGCCTTATCAAACTAGCGCTTTCTTTTTTCATAAATGGCAGCCTCGGAATGGAACACTTCAGTGTTGGGAAACAGTATCGGACTTGGCGCAGTCGCACAGTCGGTGTCGCTTCTGCATTTAGTTTTCCGCATATAACTGTTGGTATCCCATCCCGATTAAATCTACTCACTTCTTAACCTTTTTTTCGTATTCCATTTGCGTTCTGTCTCTTTTTCTAACCACTTATTTGCCATCCTGATGATAGAAGACATAGTGACTGGATCCACCGCATTTTTGTTCCCGGATCACAGTTTTTGGCTATTCTAGGCCAAACTGCCTCACTCCTCTTACTCAGCTCTAATGCGAATGGCATCCTGAGGGTTTCACTGATACTATCACAGTTCGCGTCTCTTCGCAGATAGCTCTGACTATTTTACCTACTTCCTTGATGTCACTCCACAATTCGTAATGATTGGCCAGTACCTGCTACTGCACTCTCCCTCTTAGATCACACGCTAGAAGCTTACCTTAGGAGCTACTTTGGTGTTGTCTATTTAGTGGACGAAGTCCTTTAGCGCATTTCCAATACTCACGATTTTGGTTAGTCTCCGTCACTTCTGGCGCCGGCATAATATCCTTCTCTCAATGCAATTCAGAGCCTACATGTCGAACAGTTGTGCTATGTGATCACGAGATTTTTCCTCTGCACATAAGCGGAGAGGGCCTTTGATCTTCACTGTGTTTGGAGGATAACTGGCGAACGATGGCAACATTCTTTTATTGGTCATAAAGTCCGCCAACGGATTTTTATTTGGTATCTACTGACAACTGAACTGTATAATTTTGTTTTCATGTCTCAGTGGTGTAGAAACGTCTTTTATATTTTCACTCTACAATAGCCTAATCGTACCCTTCACGCAACTTCGCATTGTCTAGAAACGGTAGCACGACTTGGGCGGCTTAGGCAATGTGCCAGCTTCGTATGTTGCTGTAGTGCCACGTTGGCGGTTCCCGGGATGGGGATCCAAGGAGCACTGGCATGTGTTCTTACCACTGATTTAAAGCCTGCCGAAGATAGACACCTTGTATTACCCTTCTCTTATCATTCTTTTTTGTTCATCTCATCATTTTCGTTTTTATTTAATAATACTCTACTACTTGTAATGTTAGTATGCCGTGTCAAAACACCTGCACCAGGTTAATCCTGTCTTGGTAATCATCTAAAACCTATATGAAAGGATGAATCTCTCGTTGTATGTCTTTATCGACGATTCGCGGAATCGCGAACGCGGTCAGTGATAGGGATTGGATCGCCTTTGAGTTGAGCAGCTCCGTGGAACGTTACTTCTATGGCAGACGTTGCGCGACCTGCATACAGAATTTGCATCATTCTACACCAGCGCTCCGAGAACAGAATTCGTCTTGAGCGGCTTTCATTATTGTTTGCACGTTTTCAAGTGCAAAATTTTAAATTTTCGTGTCGTCATCAAAGAGGAACGATCTTTTGTGGTGGAATTCCTTGAATGTACCGTCGAAATGGATGATACACGACTTGGGGCCATGGACACCACATCGCATTACCACACTTGGTGCTGCCTATCTAGCACGACGGTTTACGTGAATCCACCTGGGGAGTTGGCCACATATTTCGAATGATTAGAGTTGTGACAAGAGCCGCTTGTATGATGCACGGTCATGAACACAGTGAAGCACTGCGGCTGCCTTTTTGAAGGTTGTTGTCGATGTGACGCATTTTCATAGCTCTCGTTTACAGTTACCACATAGATGACTATGTATAAATTCATAATTACACTTTACTGGGTTTTCTCTCGATACAACACCAATTAGTGACTTTTTGACCATCTTTCCGGTTATTCTGGATACGGCGAAATTGTGGTTGACGAGTCCCTACTTTCCCACTTCACTTTTAGTCCGTCTTTCACAGCTTGTAGTGATAAGTTAATGTTTCCACAGCATATGACTATCCACACTATAAGGAAAGATGAAACAAGTGGTCACCACCGTTCATGATTGTGATTGGAAGATACTGTATGTTCTCGCTTGCTAGATACGCCGACTGTTTTGGGAGTGCTTTTAACTACTTCCAAGTAGGCTTTCGTGCTATCTACTGAGTTCTGAATGAAGTTGATTTCTTATATCGGCTGGAATTTCTTGAGCCTCATTAGTGGATGGCTCCTGGCGTTCCTGGTTATTTTTGAAGATTCCATCTCTCTGTCAGTATATCCAATAGCAGCATTCTTTTCAATCTCAATTTTTTCTAGAATTAACCATGAAGGCGAGCAGCTAAGGAACAGCAGCTCTCCCGCCGCCTTTGCTTTAGTTCGGAATGATCTGATATTTGTAATTAACCGTGACTCCTTGGACCAGATGCATTTTTATTGTGAACAACTTAATGCTTTAGGCCTCAAATCACCTATGATGGTCTTAACCCTTGGTCAGCGTTCAGCATGTGCGAATAGCGGACACGCACTGCTTGTGGCAGTATAGATGCCGATATTTATCAGGTTGGTTGGGATCAAAATATTTGATCATTTTCTGCATCCAAAGCACCCAAACTGTTAACGACCAGTTTGCCAACTGCCTGTACTTAATCTTCATCGATATCAGTGAGTGAGTAAATAGGCCGTGGTACCAACAAGCATGAAAACCATGCGTAACCTTGACATCAGTGTTAATCGTGGTGGAACCAACAAGGTATTTCCACCCCTCCCAGGATAGCTACTTCTCAAGAAACACAGATGCTTTACTTGCAATTTAACACAGATAGAGTGTGGGGAGAGTGAGATTTTCCCGAAACCTCTGTACTCCGTTTTCACCGTCGGGTCCTCCAAATTGTGACTTTGGCTTTAGGTGAGTCACTGACATGTGTGTTGAAGCCTTTTGCCATAACAATGCATGTTTTAGGTACTCTTAGGAATAGTTCACGAAGTTCCTCAGTTGTATCCGAGCTGCAGTTAGTGCGCGCATAGACGGCGATCACAAAAAAGCACTCTTATCCGTTCGACGTCTACTAACCTTGCAAGAACCGCGGAGCCTCAAAGACAAAGGCGACTGTTGATTGGAATCTAATCAATGAGGAAGGCGTGTGCTCCTCACTGAGAGCGATGCCGACACCACCTTGTCTTGATGCGGCAGACTCGGCGTCACCAGAAAGGCGGAATTAGAAGCGAATGTGTGTTTGGAGTCGTGACGATAGCTGGTAGACTGTTGGAATCTTAAAGCAGTGTTTCACTCAGCTTGCTGTCCGATGTGTAGTAATATGCGCACGTTGAAGATTGATAGTTCGGGCTAGGTTCCAGGTTGCAGGATCAAAAATGGAAGACTTCGCAACTAATAGCTCCCTGTCGATGATTGTGTGGTTGAATTGACAGATGTTAAGAGAACACATTCGTCGGTGGAGCTAGGCTTGTTCACTCTTGAAGAATCAGATAATAATGGGGGTGAATTATACAAAGGAAATGTTGGTAAGTAGTAGTAGGTAAGTTCGCGTGATCAACAATCAATCAAAAACAGCAGTACATTAGCCATTTGAACTGATGCTTCGCTGCCATAATGCCCTACGCAAACATTCCGACTCAAAGCGCCTAAACTTTGTGTGGACAACATACCATCACTAACGGCCGGCTATTGTGCAAAGATAAGGCGGCATCAGCGAGACAGCTTCCTTGTGGCTTTCACTGCCCCACGTCATGATCAGCCATTACCCCGCAGATAAACAAGCAATCCGACTAAGAGACGGCAGCAGACGCGTCACTCGTGTCGGCTGAGAGCCATGTCCTGTAAAGTCTTGAGCCAAGCACAGAGCGAGTCACGTGGGCTCCAGCCTGGAAGGCGAGACGGACCAACAGCCCCCAGTTTGCTCGTCAGTGGCTTCATTACCTGCTGCTAAGTCAACTTTTGTCCATCTCGAGCCTTGCTCCACCGTTCACCTGGCAGACTAAACAAGGCCCTCCTAGGTAAGTGGTGACCGG